TGAAAAAAACCCAAACTAAAAATTACACCCCGGAAAAATGCCCAAAAAAATATATTATACATAATATATTTACATTTATTTATAGATACATATTTTAAATAATATACATAGTATGTAATTAATTTTTTATAAACTTTTAACTTCAGTTAAATTTTGTATTGTTTTAACTTGGCTTTTTATAGTTAATTATCATTATTGTATAGTTAAGTTAATTTACGAGTAAATCACGTGATTTGAGTAGTTAAATGTAACACCAGCGTGTAGCTGAATTAACCTTATGTTCAACCTAAATAAGTTATTATATGTATTATTTAAAATAGCTATAATGTCAAAATCATTATGTATTAAATATTGATTCTATAATAATTTTATTGTATTAATAAATGAGTTAAATTAATCCAAGTAAATGATTATTAATTAACCCTTAAAAAGTGTTTTGTTGTTAATTCAACACTAGATTTGTACGTGTGATAATTAACAATACAATCGATATTATTATGTTACCACAAGTCCAGAAACGTGAATATTTTGTATTTTAAATATTTTGTTCTTATGTTCTGTTAAAAATGTATTATTCTATCACAGAAATAAAAGTATTATATGATTTAAATCCATTGTATTATAATCAACAATCAACCATAATATTTTATAAAATATTACAATTTAGGTAGGTACAGTGATTGCACTTTTATTTTCTTGGGCTTTTTTCCGTGGGTTTTTTTTTCTGTAGGTTTTTTTCGTGGCCATTTTTTCCGCCTACCAAAACTAAAAAAAAATTTAAAGTAGAAAGAAAAATTGTTTATATAGTGTTATTAAATCTTATTTATTACTATGTTTATATGATGGCGTTAAAACAGTTTAAAAGATGTATCCTCTTCTAAAAGTTGAAACGCTCGCACTATGTAGTTTAAGAATTTAAAACCGATTTAACGCCATCATTTAAACGTAGTATATAACGTTATCTATAGCTATATCTTATATACTAAAATATTGTATTTTGTTCTTAAAAAAATGTAACCTACCCCATTTTAGATTTCCACATCTACTTGAGGGGACTGAATTTTGAACTAAATAAATTAATACGGTTTTCCAGTTTTATTGGATTAAAAGATGGAGTTATCTGACAATGTGAACCGTAATAAGGACTGCAGATCACGATAAGACGATATGAGTAAGCAAAGTAATTCCATAAATATTATGTGATGAAATTACATTTCAGTATGTACATTGTACATATAATTTAAAAGTTGTCTATACTCTATACACAAAATTCAGCACATAATTTACGAAAAGTTTTGTGTGACGGGCGACGGCTTTTCTAATTTTCCAACCACGCCTTAACTTGCTTCAACATTTAATTAACTTCTGCATTTTTATTTTAGAATTGGTCCATTTATAAGTATATTTTTATCACTAMATAGAGTAAACTATTTAAATATACTATACCTACCCTCAACAAATTATGTTCTTAGTATTCTTACCTAAAGATTTTATATAACAGGTAAATTCACTCTAATTAGTGGTGAATCCAGGAGGGACAAAGGAGGTATTTGTCTGCCATCTCTGATTCACTAAATTTTATCCTAAACGTGATCTATTGAGCATAAATTTAGTATGTTACACATATGTAAGACGAAGAAAACAAAAATGCCTGCCTCCTCATGAGACCATAAAAAAAAAAAAATAAGCAATGAAAACCGAACTATTAAACTTTTTAGTATACATTGTTTTTTAAATTTGAAACTATTTCTGAAAACTATCATGCACAAATAGGCGTAGACTAGAAATTTACAAATTATTTTAATTAATAATAATAAAAAAAATACAGATGTAAATAATTGTGTGAATATATATTATATATGTATATATTTATTTAAAAATAGTGGAAGTCGAGATTATACCAAAAAATAATAGAAATATTTCGGTATATTTTATAATATATTATATATAATTAGGTATATAGACATGGTAGTCAGAAAAAAAAGCCAAGAAAAAAAAT